GTAATCTCAATAGAAAAGACTGACAGGATTAAGGAACATGAGAGCTGAAGAAAAATGGCTAAGCCCTGAGACATAGCTGGCGATGTGAGCTATTGGGTCCTAATGTTTCCTCATGCGTTGCCCTCAGCTTGAAGAGAGTGTCTCAGTGAAGAAACCGTAACTTGCTTTTAAACAGATGATGAAGTGAAAGAAGAGCAGTGTAGAAAGAGACTGAGTTGATGGAATGGCCAGATGTGTAATGGACGAGTCTGTGTGTGAGGCTCCGAGTGCCACCCCTAGCACTACAATGGTGTTTATAAAGACCTGTCAGTTGTTCACACTCTTGGTTCATAGCCTGAGCTTTTTTTGGGAGTGTTTTGTGAGTTCAGGACCTGCACCCAATTGTAAAAAAGAGAAACCTTGTGGCCTTCTGTTGGATGCTATGACAATAATCTGATCTCACTTGGCTTCAGGAGCCTGGATCACCACTGCATGTGTCACCGAGTGTCGATCCTGAAGGAGGCAGCTTTACTGTCGGACACTGGGTGCCACGCAGGGTCGAATTGTGGGACAGTGGGTGGAGATGTATGTGTTTGGTGGAGAGCTGGTTAAATTGCCGTTTCCCTTTTTCTCCCCCCACCCCATCCCATCCCACCACCAAGTTGTGAAATGATCTAGGCCAATAACATGTTTGCAATAACTCACATCAGCGTGTGAAGTTATTTTTGAAAAGTTCAATAAAAAGTGTTAACTTCTTCTTAAATTTCAATTTGGCAGCTTGTATCAGTATGGGTTCATACAGGGAAATAGTTTGTAATTACTTGGCTGAAGCAGGAAGAGAGCCTGGAGAATGTGCCCTGAAATGTGTAGGCCTAGCTGCCCGGTCCTGGGGGAGTGAACTCTGAGCACTGGATCTGGAAGGGTACTCAACATGAATAGTGAGCACCTAACCCTACCTGAGTGGTTACAATGTAGAGCACACTGCCTGAGAGTGTGGTGGAGGCAGGTTCAATCCAGATTTTCAAAAGCATGTGGAACTGTTATTTGGAAAGGACTAGTGCACAGGGAGGAGGCAGGAAAATGGCACCAAGTAAATTGCTCTTTTGGAGAGCCAACATGACAGGCTGAATGGCCTCCTCCTGTGGTTCTGTGAACTCTAACTGCAAGGACAGTCCTAAACATTGAATAATTAGCTGAAAAGATTTGGTTTGGTGCGGAGTTAATTTGTATGCCAGCTTGGCTTGTACGCTGGTGTAGAGTTCAGGTAAAATCATACCAGCCACAATCTGTCTGAAGAGCCGAGTGGTCTACTCTTGTTCCTCGTTCATAGGATACAATGCTGTTCACGGTGCACCCGGTGGTGAGGATGTTTCATCCACACTGACCAGGGGGAAGAGTCACGTCTGTGGACACAATTTGTCTATAAGTCACTCCAGGGGTAGGCACAGACCGATTTCTCCAACGTGCCCAATAAGGACTGTCCAGGTCACTGAAACTCAGAATTGCTATGGTGCAGACAGAAGCAATTCAGCTCATTCATGTCTGAACTGAAGGAGTAATGCATGTGTACAGACTGTAGTGAAACATACTCCCTCTCCAGTATCACTGCTACTTGCAAGGAATGTTCATCCTGATCACTCGGACAGTGAGAAACTGCAGCTCAGAGCCGACGCTTTGTCGAGAAAATGGTTGAGGATGTAATGCTTGCAAACTGGGAATGAAATCTGACTGAAATAGCAGCAAAATGGATATAATGTTGGGAGCAAAAAGCCAAAACTGTGAACCAGTTCTGAAGATTCCTGTCCAGAAATTGTACTTTAATCATAAAATTTGTCACAATACATTATGTAGCCTGCTGATTTGGAGCTATCTTGCTGTTGGTTCAGTGTCACTGGGTCCTGCAACTCCTTCCATAACAGCATTGTGCGTGTATCTACACCACAATGACTGAAGAGGTTCAAGATGGTAGCTCACCGCCACTTTCTCCAGGCAACTGCGAATGGGCAATGAGAGATGACTTTTCCGGTGCACTCCCATTTTCCATAAACAATTAATTTTAAATAATTAACTGTCATCAGGTACTGTAGAGTTTGTTCCAAAATCGTATGCTGAAGGACTGGATGACACTTCTAATTACAGCTTGTATTTGCGATGTACATTCTCCAGTGACTGCACACCAGGGGGATTTTGTACTGGCTCTGACCCATCGTATACTGCGGTGTGACGGCCTTGGACTGTAGCCTTTCCAAGTTGAGCCCCACAGCACAATTCTCCAAAGGCCAGACCTTTTGGCCATGTGATGGTGTTATGTGGTCAAATGTTGCCCTAATGATGATATCTGGCCAATAGATAACATACATAGAATACATGGCTGTAGAGGGGCTCAAATAACCAGGCTGAAGATAACAGTCTCAGACCTCCCCACTCCCACCCAGCTAGACTGCTCACAGAAATTGAGCTTTATAAAACAAACCTTTCTATATTTGAGGAGTTGAAGCACATACACGTTGACTGTTTATGCCTGCCCCGTGACTCTTGCGGTGGTATTCAAGATTGTGTTGGGGACTGATAGCTGGCTAATGACCCATCAAGAGGTTGGGAGAAACACACTATCACAGTTCCTGTCATGCCCCCCACCCAGAGGTTTAGCTATCCCTGTGTTTCTCTCCCTACCCTGTCTGCTTCAGCCTTTCGCCCTGTCTCCAGAGCGTGGCCTGGCCCTGTCACAGTCATCCATTTGCTTCCGATTCCAGTAGTCCATCACAACTCCAACAGTTGAATGGATATTGGGGAAATGCAGGAATGCAGAGTTGAGGTTCTAATCAGATCAACCATGATCTTATTGAATGGCAGAGCAGACCCGAAGGACCAAATGGCCTTCTCTTGTTCTGACATGTCTTCTGTGGGACTTGCTGCAGTTCCAGCAATGGCCAAGCTGGACCCAGAGAATTACAAGACATTTGTTTGACCACCAGCTTTCATAGATTGGAACTTCTTTGCCGTCCTGCAGTTAATACATAGCTCTGTGTGTGTGTGTGTGTCTGGCTTGGGGTTACAGGGGTGAACTTGCTGTGAAATCTTACACTGGGGCCATGGGAGCCTCCTCACCTCACTGACCAGCCCCATGACCCTCAGCTCAGAATTCGCCTTCCTTTATTCACTTCCTAAAACCTCCCTTTTTGACCAAGCTTTTGGTCATGTGGCTCAGTATCAAGTTATGATGATGACACTCACCTTAGGGTGTGTTACTGCATCAGAGGCACTACAGAAATGTAGGTTGTTGTTGATGGCTACAGTAGATAGAAGTCATAACAATGGGAGGAAGATGTTTTAAACACCTTCACCCAGGCATCATCAAGCCCCCAACATCCGATGACTGTCCAGCAGAGCCGCGTTTGTCATGGCACTTATTTCCTGCCCGATGCCAGCACTGTCCACCCCAGTGATGGTCAGTGGTTTTGATGGTGCATAGTCTACATTGTATAGCATGATGCTAACAAGTCTGCAGTCCCTCCTTCCTCCCCACTAACTGCCTGGCAAGCTGCAAGAAATGCCCTGTTGTCAGGAGGCAGTGTCATGTGGACAAAAGCCTTCACTTGCTGCACTTTATGAAGTGTTACACTGGGATGCTGACCTACTTCAGTCTTTGGAGGAGACAGGCTATAAACCATGTGATTCTGCAGCTTATCTGGCTCTAAGTCCCATTCTGCTACCAGCCCTGCACTCCCTGACGTAACACTGGCTTCCACTCAAGCAATGTCTTATTTAAAAATTCTCATCCTTCCTTCCAATCCCTGGGTGGCCTCCCCTCTCTGTATCTCTGTAGCCAGCTCCACTAACCTCCACAAAATCTCTACCCCTCTATTTCTGGCCTCTTGACCCTGCCCAGTTGCTTGCCATCCTTTCAGTTACCTTGGGCTCCAGTCGCTGGATTTCCATCCCAAAACCTCTCTGCCGCTCTATTTTGTTCCACTCCTTTAGGGCACAAGTTAAAATTCATATCTTTGACCAGGCTCCAAGATTGTTGCTTGTCAGGGAGCTAATGTAGGTCTGTGAGCACAGTGTGATTGGTGAACCTGACTTGGTGAGTGTAACAGTATAGGCAGTAGGGTTTTGGACAACCTTAAGTTACAGAGGGCAGAATCTGGGAGAACAATGCAATAGTTGAATCTAGAGGTAACAATGACATGATTGAGGGTTGCAGCAGCGCATGACCTGGGACAGGTTACATTCCAGGAAAAATGTCATTGAGACGATCAGCCACGACCTAGAATGGTGGTTTGATGGGCTGAATGGCCTGACTCTTGTTCCTATCATACGACTAAGTCAAGTAATGATTCTGTGAGAGAGGATGTGATTGAAACATATAAAATTCTAACAGTTCTGGACAGACTAGATGCGGGGTGGATGGTTTCCCTCGTTGGTGAGTCTAGAACCAGGGCTCTCAATCTGTGGATACAAGGTAGACCATTTCAGACTGGGATGAGGAAAAATTTCTTCATTTGGAGTGATGGCTTAGGAGGCTGGATCACCAAGTATATTCAAGAAAGAGATTGACAATTTTTTAGATATTCAAGGCAGCAAGGGATCTGGAGAGAAAGAGGGAATCCGGCATTGAGATACAGGATCAATCATAATTGTTTTGAATGGCAGAGCAGGCTTGAAAGGTCGAATGGCCTTCTGTTCCTAGTTTGTGTGATGAAGGTAGAAATGGTGGGCCTTGGTGACATGAGGTTGGATGTTAAGGCTGCAAACAAAACTGAACCCAAGGTAACCTACAGGTCACTTAGCTGGATGCCCCTATAAGCATTAGAAGCCTCAGTTAAAATACCATCACAATTAGTTTGCAGCAGGTCTTTCTTGCTGTATTGCCATTTTTTGTAAAGATATGTTGGACATGCACTGTTGTACACAAGATGTCTGCCTCCCAAGCATCCTGGGAAGTTATGGTCAGCAGTAGCTTGGGGCCATGTTTTCTGAACACACACTGACCGTGTACCCCATTGATCTTTTCTGCTTAGGTGTAACCTCTGCTGTATCTCCTTTAAGACACATCGGGGTTTGCTGCGTCACAACGCCATAATCCACAAGCAGCTTCCAACAGACGTGTCGGGAAAGCCTTATATCCAGAACAATCCCACAATTCCCGTGGGCTTCCACGACCTCGGATTCATCGACTTCTCCTGCCGGAAATTCCCCCTCATTTCTCAGGTAAACCTGAAGGATTGCCAATTTTAAAAAAAGCGAGCATGGGTAGTAGCCAGCCAGTCAAGTAGTCTGTGTGGAGAGAGAAACAGGGGTTAACATTAAAGGATGAATGTGACTTCTTCAGATCTCATCATGTTAACTTTGTTTCTGCCCCCTATAGAGGCCAGACAGCTGTGTATTACAGCACATTCTGCCTTTGTTGCAGATTTCCAGCATCTGCAGAATTTTGCTTTTATGGAAGAATTTTGCTAATGGCTATTCTCCCTGGCCCGTGAATCAAGCAGTGGCAGTAACCATATTTTGTCTTCCTCCAGCCCACCCAGTTGTCCTCCTTTCTGCTAACTCCGTTTGTATCTTCATCCCAAAGACAATGAGATTTGTTCAATTGGCACCAACACTGTGATGACTAATCTATGTGTAGCCTTGCAATTTGAGGAACATCCAGAGAGCATAGCTAGATCTCATCTTGTTCCCACCTGATGTCCATTTTATGCATGCCTCCTGCTCTGAAATCGAAAGCAAACAGGAGCTAAAATCCTGTTTAACGTCTCCCTGCCCAGGTCCAACTTGGTGAAAATCAACTATCGGCAACTAGAATCCAAGCTGGGTTAAGAACAGTACCTCCAGGATGTCCTGCAGTGATGTCCTGGGACTAAGAAGATTGGCTTCCAACAACCACAACCACCCTCATTTGTTCTAGGTATGACTCCAATCAGTGGAGAATTCTTTCTATGATTCCCATTGACTTTTTCAACGATTTTGCTTCCTTAGTAGGGAATCTCAGACCTCCAAATATATGGGTGGGCTTCCACCAAGAGCAACTGAGCTTAATACAGCCTTGCTTCAAACATGAACAAAAAGCTAAAATTTCAGAAGTGAGGTGAGAGCAAATGCTTTGACATCAAGACTGCATTTGACTGAGTATGGCATTGAGGAGCCCTAACAAAACTGGAATCAATGGGAATCAGGTAAAATTCTCCACTAGTTAGAGTCATTCCTGACCGTAGGAAGATGGTGGTGGTTGTTGGAGGCCTGTCATCTCAGCTCCAAGACATCTCTGCAAGAGTTCCTCAGGGTGGTGTCCTAGGCCCAACTATTTTCAGCTGTTCATCAATGACCTTCCATCTATCATAAGATCAGAAGTGGAGATGTTCACCAATGATTACACAATGTTCAATACCATTCATGACTCCTCAGATACTAAGATCTGGACAATATCCAGGTCTGATAAATGACAAGTAATATTTGTGCCACACAATGACCATCTTCCAACAAGAGAAAGTCTGAATCTCCCACTATCAACATTCTAGGGGTTACCACTGACAAGGAACTGAACTGGACTAGCCACATAAATACAGTAGCTACAAGAGCTGGTCAGAGGCTAGGAATACTGCAGCAAGTAACCCACCTCTTGATTCTCTAAAGCCTGTCCACCGTCTACAAAGGCAAGAGTTAGGAGTGTGATGGAATACTTTTCACGTATATGGATGGGTGCAGCTCCCAACAATGCTCAAGTAGCTTGACATCACCCAGACCAGCATCTTATTCACCACCTTAAACAATTTCCTCCTCCACATGTAGCACACCATTGTGGCAGCGTGCAAGCAGTTTGCTAAAGCTTCTTCACCAGCCCTTCCCACTCCCGTGACCTCCACTATCTAAAAGGAATTAGGCAGTGACTGCAACACCATCAGTTTCCCTTCCAAACCACACATCATCCTGACTCGGAACTATATCATCGTTTCTTCAGTGTTGCTGAGTTTAAAATCCTGGAACTTCCAGCCTAACAAGGACCTGGGTTTCAATTCAGGCAACAGTCTGTCAAGAGTTTTTACGTTCTCCCCGTGTCTATAAGGGTTTCCTTTGGGTGCTCTGGTTTCCTCCCACAGTCCAAAGATATACAGGTTAGGTGGATTGGCCATGCTAAATTGTCCATAGCGTCCATGGTTGTGTAGGCTAGATGGATTAGCGATGGTAAATGCAGAGTTACAGGGATAGGGTAGAGGTGTGGGGGTGAGTCTAGGTGGAATGCACTTTGGAGAGTCAGTGTGGACTCGATGGATCAAATAGCCTGCTTCCACACTGTAGGGATTCTATGATTCTAACAAGACTCTGGGTATACATACCTCTAAGGGCTGCAATAGTTCAAGGAAGCAGCTCACCATCTCAGTATTAATTAGGGATGGGCCATAAATACCAACCCTGCCAGTAGCATCTACATTCCCATAAATGAACAGAAGACATTAATATTCCCCACCATTGGGGTAGAGAAAAATTGTCACTGCATTTCATTGCAATGTCTTCTTACATACCAGAGTCTCTAATATAGCACGTGTTGAGTGATATTGCTGTATGAACTTTAATTGGTTGGGTGGATGTGATGTGGTCTTGGGGAAGTCAGCTGGAGGACTGCTTTGTGTGGTATAATTTAATCATAGAGTTACTGAATCCCTACAGTGCAGAAAGAAGCCATTCAGCCCATCGAGTCTCTACCAACCCCCTCCCCCTACACCCCCCACTGAAGAGCAGCCCAGGCCCCCAGCCTTTCCCCATAACCCTGCATTTCCCATGGCTAATCCTCCTAGTCTGCACATCCTTAGACAGTATGGGTAATTTAGCATGGCATATCCACCTAACCTGCACACCTTTGGACTGTGGGAGGAAACTGGAGCACCTGGAGGAAACCCGTGTAGACACAGGGAGAATGTTCAAACTCCACACAGATAGTTACCGAAGGCTGGAGTCGAACCCAGGTCCCTAGCACTGTGAGGCAGCAGTGCTAATCACTGAGCCACCGTGCTGCCTGTTAATTGGTTATCTTCTGATGGACAGCTCATCCATTTGGGGCTGATCTCTTGTGAGGAGTCTCCGTACGTGCATGCGAACCCTAAATGGAGTGGTTCAAAAAGGCTACCATCTGCCAGGCAATTAGGGATGGATGATAAACAGTGGCACTCTCAACCCATCAACAAGTCAAAAAGAAGCAGATTTAACATAGATACCTGGCTGTGACAGATCAGTGAATGTGTGTAGGAGGGGATGGTGCTGTAATGGTACTGTCGTTAGACTCATAATCCAGAGGCCCAGGCTGTGGAGATGTGGGTTCAAATCTCACCATGGCAGCTGTAATATCAAGTTAGTCTCATTAATGGTAAGCAAGAAACTACCATTTATTGTTGTAAAAACCCATCTGGGGTTCACTCACGTAGGAAGGGAAATCTGCCTTCAATATCTAGTCTGGCCCACATGTTTTGCCAAATCATAATTATGTGGTTGACTCTGGCATGACCAAGCCAGCACTAACAGTTTGAAGTACAGTTAGGGATGGGCAACAAATGCTGGTCTTGCTAGGGACACCCATGTCCCATGAAGAAATTTTGAAAAAGGTAGCAGCAATAAGCTGCCAAACATTTCATGTACATTCATGTAACCATCCAATGGGCTGAATGGCCTGTTTCTGTACTGTAACATTTCTGTGGTTCTATTAAAAGGTGGGAAAAACAGGCAAACAGCTTCCAAAAAATTATCTTTAAAAGCTCCATCTGTCTTTATCCAATAACAGTTAAGGATCCCCTTCAATTCTGTCTGGAAATGTCCACCTCCTGCCAGACACTACTTTTGGCTAATGGGACAGCAGGAATTGAGCAAAGATGGTCTTAGTTACACCCCTTGATTCTGTGTGTGGGTGTGAATGAGGTGACCAAAGAGATTCTACCCAAAAACCAGGATTAACACCATGATCAGTCATTGTGGTGATCCGTTGTTTGAGTTCACTTCCAGTAATGTCCTGTTTTTATACTGCAGCCACTCAGAAACCCACCCATTATTGAGTGATGCTCTTACTCCAAAAGTATTTATGGGGTAATTATATTTTTCAAGAGGTTTCATCACAAATGTATACAAAGATTCTGAGGGAGATTTCCACATTTTGAGATGTTTGGTTCCCAATTCAGAGACTCTTGCCAGTTGAGAGCCCAGCAGGAATGACAGTGCACCCAGTATGTAGGAATAGATGTAGGCCATTCAGCCAATCGAGCCTGTTCCACAATTCAATTAGATTGTGCCTCGGTGTCACTTTCCAATGCTACCTCCATATCTCTTGATGTGATTGGTGTCCAGAAATCAAATGTTGTCTTGAACATGTTAGATGAGCATCCACAGCTCTCTGAGATAGAGAATTCCAAAGATACGCCACACTCTGAATGAAGACTTTCCTCTTAATCTCCATCACAAATGGCTGGCCCCTCACCCTGAGATGATATCCCCTGTGTGGCACAGAAAAGGCCTGGGGTTGAGAGCGAGGCTGACTCCGCACCCTTGACCTATTTTGGGGTGATTGCCTATTGTTACATAACAAGAGAAGTCCCAGAGCCCGGAAAGGAATTGGTCAACATCAAAAGGACGCGTTAATTTGTTAAAGTCTTGATTAATCATTTGAACTGCATGGTGTGGCATGCAACGTTAAATTATCATGTACACAATTCAGTGATAAAATGGGCCAAGAACACTTCTTTTTGACTAGTTTACAAAGCCATACACTGTGTGTTCAGCTGAAATACTCAAAGCATTGTTGAGTGTAAATGAAATGGCTGTTTACTGAGTGAGGCACTGACCTTTCCCTCTGGGATGTGCGTTTGATTTAGGCACACATTGTTTGGATGAAGTCTGTTAAGTTATGGTTGTTAGCATCCAATGTGAGAGGAGTAAAAGCGAATCCAAAGCAGTCCCAAGAATACACTGGTGGGGGCTGGAGAAATTTTACCCCAGAGTCTTTACAGGACAGAAAGAGGCCCTTCAGCCCATTATGTCTGCATCAGTTATCAAACATCCATCGATTCTAATCCTATTTTACAGCAATTGGCCCGTAGCCTTGTACGCGATGGCAAGTGTTCATCTAAATCGTTCCTAAATGTGTTGAGGGTTCCCACTTCCACCACCCTTTCAGCCAGTGAGTTCCACATGTTCATAACCCACTGGGTGAAAAACGTTTTTCCTCAAACCTCTCCTGCTTTTTACTTTAAAACTCTATACCCCTTGGTTACTGACCTCCCTATTAAGGGGGAAATATTTCTCCCTATATACTGTCTATGCCCCTCAAAACTTTGTATACCTCAACCAGATCTCCCCTCATCCTTCTCAGTTCTGACCCCAGCCTATCTAGTCTCTTCAGAGCTGAATCGCTGCAGCCCAGACCACATTCTGGGGAGTCTCCTCTGCAATCCAGCTGGTGCAATCACATCCCAAAGGAGTGGACAGTGCTGTACAGGGGCAGCAGTTATGATGCAGGAGCTACACACCGCTATACACTGTAATTAAACCAGGAAATGCTTCAAAGTCAGCAACCTTCAACAGAGTGAGTGTAAAATTCAAATGCACAAAATAATTCCTTCATTAGACAGACAAACCGCTGGGCCCAGGTTTTTACCAGAATGTATCTCATAGTCCCAGCTTTTAACCACGGTGTCCCTAAAGGGCCCAGCTTTTAACCAGGGCATTCCTAATACATAAATGCGAGTGTATTTCTGTCTGAATGTGTGTTGTCAGGGCCCTCCCCTCTTGGTCTTTGTTGTTATTTATTTTGTCGTTTCTTTTGTGCAGGTCTGGTCTGAGTTGAACCTGAGGAGATGCACGAGCAAGTTTCACCGGTTTGTTTGCGAATTGTGCAACAAAGCCTTCCCAATGCTGGCGGCTCTGAAGCTACACCTTGAAACCCATAGGGGGCAGCTGGAAGGAGGCCAGGGCCTGCCAGAGCCCCAGCTACTGCCCGACGTGGATGTGAAGCAGAAAGCCTTCATGGCGTCGTTGGGTCTGCAGCATGCCAAAGAGGCGAAGGCGGTGAAACGACAGGAAACCACCGAATTCGATATCCACACGATCTGGGCCGAAACGCCCCCATGGAAACTACCTCAAGAGGCCAACTGTGCTACTGTGAAGGATCAAGCACCCTTAGACCTGGCTTCCCTGGGAGCGAGCCTGTCTTCTCTCTCACCACTTCAGGACAAGGTCAAGATCTTGTCCTTGCACCCTTTCCAGAAGGGCTTTATAATCCAGCCAGATAGCAGTATCGTGGTGAAGCCCATCTCCAGCGAGTCCGCCATCGAGTTTGCTGACATTCAGCAGATCCTGCAAATGGCATCCTCTGCTCCCACACAGATCAGTCTGCCCCCACTGTCCAAGGCGCCTTCCATCCCGAACCAGTCCATCTACAGGCAGATGCCTCCACTCAAGCCAAAGCCCCTGGTTGCACCATGCACTGTCGTGGCTTCCACACCACCCCCACTCATGAGTGCCCAGCAGGCTTCATCTGGCTGCGTTAGCCCCAGTCTCCTCCCTCCTCCTCTGAAGCTCGTGAAGACGGCAGCCGGGCCTGTGTGCAGCCCTCAGGACCTGAAAGTGAAACCCGTGAATGGAGCGCAGCCCTTTCTTCAGCCAAAGACGGAGCCACTGAGCCCCGTTGAGATGAAGACCCAGCTTGAGCAGGATAGTATTATTGAAGAATTGATGCCAATGGAGATGAACAGGGCTATCAAACAGGAAGTCATGGAAGGAGATCTCAAAGACATGATAACGGGGGCATCCAGCAAGAAAGTTCCCGCATTAAAGAAAGTCTTGTATCCATGTCGCTTTTGCAACCAGGTGTTTGCTTTCTCTGGCGTGCTGAAAGCTCACATCCGCTCACACCTAGGCATCTCACCATACCAGTGCAATATCTGCACGTATATCGCGGCAGACAAAGCTGCATTAATCCGCCACCTCCGCACGCACAGTGGCGAGAGGCCCTTTATCTGTAAAATCTGCCACTACCCTTTCACAGTGAAAGCCAACTGTGAGAGGCACCTGCGCAAGAAGCACCTCAAGATGACCCGCAAGGACATTGAAAAGAACATTGAGTACGCAGAGAGCCACACCGCAGAGCTGGTAGACTCTTTCTGCTCACCAGACACCGTGTGCAAGTACTGCGGCGAGGACCTCAAGTACTACCGTGCCCTCCGGCATCATTTGAGGACACACAGCAGCTGTCAGAAGAAACCCTTCGAGTGCCGAGAGTGCAACATGGGCTTCTCCACCAAGAATAACTGCATCCGCCACATCCTCAAGCAGCACACCCACGTCGAGGAGAAGGAGATGGAGAAGCATATCCTGTTGGTGGACTGCCTCGTGGGTGAGAATGGGGCACTGTCCCCCACCTTATCTGAGGACAGCGTCACTGCAAATGGCTCTCCAGTCTCGTGCAAGGAGCCTCAGAACGGGTTTTTACATGGACCACTGCCCCAGGGCTCCTTAAAAATGGAGCCCATGGGTATTTTTTCAATGGACTTGGATGAACCGCTGGATTTTTCTCAAAAGAACAAGAATGTGTCTATCCACCCCTACAAACAGGAGGGCCACTTGCTCAGGAAGCATGCTTCGCCCATTGTTGCACAGTTTGACAGCACGCTGGAGCCCATAGACCTGTCCGTCCCCAAAAACCCTCCAAAGGATAAAACAAATGTGGGCAAAGAAAATAAGGATGAAAGCCAGCTGGCTGTTAATGGTGGCTCATTTGCCTGTCAGCAGTGCCCGTCTACCTTCCCAGCAAAGATCAGCCTCGATAAACATGTAAGTACGAAACATTCTCCACCACGGCAGGGTTTGGTGCCAGCCCGGAGTCCGGCCACACTCCCAGCTGTGGTTGCCAGCACCAGCCTACTGCGACCCCTGAGGCCTAAACCACCGCCTCCGCTGCTCCTGCCCAAACCTGCCACGGGCAAAGAGCTGCCACCCCTGGCTTCCATCGCCCAAATCATTTCTTCTGTCTCATCTGCCCCCGCCTTGCTGAAGAGGGATGTCAAGGACAGTGCCGAAGCTACCAAGCCCACCACCTCGTCTGACGGTGCGGAGGATTTAAAGATCGGCCTGGTGACCAAGGCCACTCCCCAAACGGGAACTAACGGCCCAGCAAAGACTTTGGGCCCACAACGCGCCGCAGAGAAAACATCAGCAGGGGTGGTGGGGCCAGGCAAGAGGAAAGGGAGAAGGCGAAGTCTCAAGTACAAGAAGATTCGGCCTGGTGTCAGCAGCAGTAGCGTAGACCCAGAGTCCAGCGGGGAATTTGCCAGCGTGGAAAAAATGTTGGCCACGACCGACACCAACAAGTTCAGTCCTTTCCTACAATCCACCAACATCAAAGAGGAACCTGAAAAGGAGGAAAAAGATTCCGAGGGAAAGGAAAAGCGAGACATAATGATCTTGAAGGGGAAAAAAAATTCCTACTCTAACTCAGTGCAAAAAATCACTTGTCCGTACTGCCCACGCCTGTTTCCTTGGGCTAGTTCACTTCAGCGCCATATGTTAACACACACAGGTAAGACAGCAATACAGTTGTTCGCATTTAGAATTTAGTGCAGTTAATTCTTCTGGAATTAAACAGCTATTCCTAGAAAACCAAACGTTTCGATCTTGCCCTGCCTCTCCCAGTCCAAATTGTGATTGTCTGACCTGGAGCCTACGCTCTTGCGCTTGGGTCTGAAAGACTTACTATCCCCTGCTCGGCTGGCCACTCTGTGAGCCTCGACCAGTGGTTTCTCAATCCATTATGGTTAAGGAAACCACTAACTTATTGTGAAATTGTACAGACCATCAACCAAGACTCGGTCCTTCCCTCCAATCGTGTGTCTGTCATAAAACAAAAGTAATAGCAAAGTAAGTTCACAATTGAACCAGTGAATGAATGCAAGTGCAGACATTTTGAATGATTATTGTTCAACGAATGTAAGAATAATGTATCTTTTGAAAATTTGAGACAATTTTCAAATGACCTGAAAATTGCAAAGATGCTCCTGGAATTGGGGAAAATGAGAATGCTTGTAGAACCCTGACATTTTGGGGAATCCTGGTTGATAAACACTGCCCTAGACAGTGCATGTTGGCAACCTGTTTAACATCAGGGACTCTGGGGTGTAGGTTATCAACAAAGAGAATCATCACCTCATATCTGTAGGCATGAGTCACTGGCACTCAGCACAGGGCACTCAAATACTTGCTCAGTCTGGAGTCATCTTGGCACATCCTTATCTATAAGTAACTACAGGAGCACAGATCAGGGACTGAACCTGGATCATTGCTGTCCTGTCAAGTACCAAGTGTCCTGTTTAGCAGTTGAGAAACTGGAGGCGCTGCAATAACCAGTCGGTAAAGTGGGATCACCTCATTCGGGGAAAGACGTTAGTCTCAACCACTGCAGTTGAGAATGATGTTCTACTTTACAATAATGGGAGTTAGATTGAATCCTTCCTAATAAAGACACCAGCAACACAGAATATACTTAGGGGGATGAAAGTTAATATTTCCAGTTTTCTGTTGACTGGCTGTTACAAAATTTCTCAGTTTGACTGGTGGTCACAGTCTTGATAGGGTTGGGTGAAGAGAGGGTTGAGTTTAGTTAGATGTCAGGCTAAAGGCCAGTTAATTGTTGAGCTTTATTTGAATGCTGCATTGATATGCATTCACTTGTTACCTTGTTCGGTTACCTGTGATATGCTTTGCTGTAGGTTTGCCTATGAACACCTTTTTATATGGGATTCTGAATTGGTGTACAGCGAATGGTGGTGTCGGCTTTAAGACACCTTTCTTAATATTGCGCCAGGGTTACCTAAGAGTCCTTTCCAAGTCCTGTGTTGGTGCTACTTGAGCTTCTGAATGAAGCCTTTGCCAATTTGCAAAAGTTTTTGAAATAAATTGAAATTCTTCCAGCAGTAAGGGGGAAGGAAGACAATGCAGATATGAAAAGGGAAAAGAACACAAGTAATTCAATTTTCGAGGCTTTTACTGGGCTATAAATGCCCCCTTGGCACCAATGAGCACCCCCCACCGCCCCCCCCCCCCCCCCCACCCCCAAGTCTTTGGATTACAGAATGAGAAGTAATCAAGTGTAAGATTACCTTTGGAAATGATGCAGTATCAGTTGATCAATGTGTACAGGCTCAGAAATAGACTTTGCTCACCCTTCCTGCTGCGTAATTAACCTTTTGAAATGCAAGTTCGACTTTCTGGTTCTTGCTGTGTGTTTTCCCCTTGCCCACAGTATCTAGAATCGTACAGTACAGAAAAGGCCCTTTGGCCTAGCGAGCCTGTACCACCAAAATTATACTACTTCAGCCAGTGCAGGAACACTGTTGGCATTACGCTGCATTGCAATCTAGCCAATTCAGCTAAGTGACCCCGACTTTTGACATTTGGTCGCTGTTCTAATGTAGAGAAAAAGCAAACCAAATTGCACAGAGCAAGTTCCCAGAAACCATGTCTTCAGGACCAGATAATTTGTTTCTGTGGTATTGATTGGCCATTGTGGAAAAAGTTAATTTGACCTGAGAGGGCAGATAGAGCTTCGGTTTCATGTCAGGCTCAAAAACTAGTACTCCCAACAGGGCAGCACTCACCCAGCAGCATTCCATCTAATCTTCTTGCTGGCTCCATGGATGTGCGCACCGCAGTGATTTCTGGAACTGGAAGTCAATTCTGCATTCGGCTTGTGCAGAACATTGGAGTAGCTGCACACACGTTTCCCCGGTACTGCATTGATGCACTGGTGTCTCAGTCTGGATTTTTGTGTTCAAGGCCTGGTGGGGTTCTTGAACACACCACCTTCAGATTCAGACACACACCATGGAGGAGGTTGTTGTTCCGAACTGCCTGCCCTTGTTCCACGGCTACGTTTGTGGAGAGGAAGCGCACCATGTCTACGAGTACGCTTAAAACTTTTAGAGAGAAAGAGTTGGCACTGCGCGGGATTGGAGCGCATTATTTCCCCCCATCAGCTCCATTTTAATTTAAACCCCATCGCTTTTACCTACCTTTTCCTTTTGTTATTGTTGTGGCAGTGTTTGTTAATTGGTCATTTCATGAGAGATACAAATGACTTGGTGAAAGTTTTGTATATTTAAAAAAAAAGAATGAAGGCGCAAGTCTTTTTAAGGACTAGAGCTAGGATGGGCAGCCTGAATGGTCTCCTCTTGCATTGTAAGGCTCTTTGATTCTTTTGGGGGCTGGGTATCGGTCAGTACGTGCCTTTGCAATGGGTGGGCATTATTCTTCACCTTCCACTGGGCTCTCTGGAAGGCTGAGATTTTTCTAAGACCCCTCAAGCAAAGAGATGATGAATGGATTTATGTTGTGTTGGGTGGACCAGGAGGCCCATTCAGAAGAGTAATTTTTTTTTAAAAGTACAATTTCACTCCTGCAGAGTGTATATAAAACAAAGCTTTGCGCATTTATTCATGGTTGACATAATGTTGTGTGAAATGGATTCAAAATAGCCAGGCAACCCTGGGGTACATGGGGAGATGTGTAAGATCTCACAATATTGCCTTGTAAAATGATAATGCAGTTGCAATCCACCACCTCCATGGGGACAGTTTAATAACTCAGTAAACTAATAGCTCACAAAAACAGAGCTTCTTTGCGAAAAATCGTTGAGGACACAGTATGCACAGTACATGAACCATGGAATCGTAAAGCAAAGAGGACCACACCCTATTCCCCAGTTCTTTGCCCCTGGGGGCTGTGTCACGTTTTGACGGGTACTAAGCAAGCTGTTTGCTGAACGCCACCACGGTTACTGAAGTGTGTGAGGCCTGATCCAAAGTTAAAAGCTGCTGTAGTTTGTTTGAATCTGAAGGTTACTAAAACAAGAAAAAAAGCTGGAAATACTCTGGCAGGTCAGGGAAGGCCTTAGATGCGAAACATCAGGCAGCTGCTGTATCACAGAGGCGGAGTCTTCCCCTTGCCCCCTCCCTCCATGTGGTGTTTTTATATTTGCAGTGGAAGAAGGAACAGCAGTAAATACTCAATAATTTGCATTTTTGCCAGAGGTTGGCACATGGAACATAAAGAGAATGGCACTCTTAGCCATTCTAGAGAAAGGAGCTTCATCTTAAAATTATCATTTTATTGGAGAACACCTATTCACCAAACATATCGGCAATGGACTGTTTACGACGGCTGCACTGCTCAAATTGCTTTGCGAGACCAGGCCAGGGGCTGTGAATTTTAAAACTCCCTGCCATGAGTAAAGCTGGTTAGCCTGAAATTGCATTGTGTGGTATTTGTAACAAATGCTGAAGCCTTGAACTCCAACCTGCTACTGAAAAGAAGCAGTAACTGTTTAACCTGCTCAAAATAATGCTTTTGTCAAGATCCCGCAGGATAAACCCACACAAATGTATGAAACCATTGTGTTAACATGCAGCACAATTTTAATTTTATTGAGAATATCCTACGGGATGCAATCTTATTCCGAGACATGTGGTTCACTCCCATGAGCAGTAGAAGCTGTGTCTTGAACTCCTTTTCAAATTCTCCCCAGTGCTGTGCATTTTTTTAAAAACTGGTTCTTATTTTAGTTGAGCAATTTAACACCATAGTTACTGCTTCCACAGAGGTATTCACATTACACTGAGGAGTAACCCAGGGCTGTGTATGTCAAGTTACTCATTGACAAGATTTGCAAGCCCCGTGGCAGCAGCAACTTACAGACACCCAGTTAAAATGTATGTTGGGTTTTTTTTTTGGTAAGATCGCATGGTATTAATTTGGGAATATTGTAGATACTAATTAAACACCACTTAACTGGTGTTTTTTTTTCTGTTTCATTTATATAAGACAATGCGATTGTCAAGAACTGCATAAATAGCTACTTTTTTTGTTTTTTTTTTACATTTTGTTTTAACAAAAGGTCAGAAGCCCTTCCCCTGTCCAAAATGTGACGCTTTCTTTTCCACCAAATCTAACTGTGAACGCCACCTCTTGCGCAAGCATGGTGTTGCCAACCGGTCACTGCGAAGAAATGGCCTGATTGCCAGATCCAAAGCAACTGATGCAAAGCCCCTGGAAAGCACAGGTAACTACCACCAGAGAGAGCCAGTTCCAGTCAGTGTGCCGTGTTTCAGTAGGTTTAAAGAGTGCTCATTCGCTCTTGTGAGGGATTAACAGAAATGAAAGATGCAGTCAGGCTTTGCTGTAGCAAGGGGGCAGTGCCTGCAAGACCAAACAGTCCAGAGGGAGAGGGAGGGAGGGAGGGAGAGAGAAAGAGAGGCCTCACTTCCAAAATGATTGATCCGCCTTCAGATTAACGGAGCTCTGCCTCTTGGGAGCAATACAAAAGTATTTGGCAAATTGTTATTTTGTTTGCTTATAATTGTACTGTGATGGCATAAACTATGTCAGAATTCTTTGCAATTCATTTCACCAGTGAAATTCCTGTGATGCACAATGTTCTGCCCCTTTTACACTCTTCAAATCAAAACCAAAAGGAAATGCCAAATGCTTTTTGCACCGAAACAGTTTTCCTTTAAACAGTACCGATTGCAAACAGTTGACCTAAAAGTACGTGTCGGTGGTCGCTTTGGTACAGCTATTTTGCTGGCCTAAAATCCCCAACATTATGGAATAAATCCAGTGATGGCCATAACCATTCCAATGAATCAGGATTCATTTACAAGGACAATATCCTACCTCTGATGGCTCCTTTCTCTGAGGTCCAGTTTTCAGTACATACTCAACAATGTTCTGATTGACACACGCAGACACAAATCACAGAGAAGCATAACTAGATGTTTGTCCAATATTTGTACCTTGTGAATGTCCTTTAGTGATATGTTTGACCTGCCTTGAGTTGTAAGATGCATAAAACAGAATTCATCATTTAGTTTGCATGAATGTATAATTAAACTAGTCCATGTTGGCTATGCCCTGTGCCAATAGTAAATGATGCTGCTGAGAGATGGAGCCACATTTTGTGATGTCTTAGTGAGACCATTGGTTTAAATGGCATTGGGCCAATGCATTGCACAGGCTGCATAATTTGGAAAGAAAGCTAAACTCTTTGTTTTATAGTTCCTGGTTGTTTTTGTTTGTCTGTCTTTGATAGTTGTTCACTTTCGGACCAGTGTTTTATTGTCCCTGGTGGTTTTGCTTGTCTCCTTTTTTGGTGGTTTCACTTTCTGACCTGTCTTATTGTCCATTTCTTTGGAAGCTGATCACTGTCTGAACCAGTGTTATTGTTTCATTGTCTTTGGTATTTTGCTTGTCACTGCTGGTTGTTCACTTTCTGACCTGTGTTTTTGTTTTATTTGTCTCTGACCCTCTTCTTGGTAGGCATTGATTTTCTGACCTGTGTTTTTTGTTTTACTGACCTTGTCCCTGGTAGATGTTTATTTTCTGACCTGTGCTTTCTGTTTTATTGCCCCTGTCCTTGATCGTTGTTGATTTTCTGACCTGTGTTTTTTTTTGTTTTATTGTCCTTGTCCCTGGTAGATGTTGATTTTCTGAACTGTTTTTTTTTGTTTTATTGTCCTTGTCCCTGGTAGGTGTTGATTTTCTGACCTGTGTTTTTTTTTGTTTTATTGTCCTTGTCCCTGGTAGGTGTTGATTTTCTGACCTGTGTTTTTTTTTGTTTTATTGTCCTTGTCCCTGGTAGGTGTTGAATTTTTTGTTTTATTGTCCCTGTCCGTGGTAATTGTGGATTTTCTGACTTGTGCATTTTATTATCCGATAGTTGTTCACGCTCTATAACCGGTCTCTCCCTCTCTCTGTGTCGCCCTCAGGTAATGTTTCCCAGTCGGAGATGGCAGTAGCCGGGGCCTCGACACCTCCAGCGGCGGCACCAGCCTCTCCTTCGCCCGGGCCTACGGAGCGGCCTGGAACCGAGGGCTCTGCGGGCGAGGGCGAGCCCAAAGCGGAGTCGGCGGTGGTCCGGGCCGGGGGCGGCACGGAAGAGGAGGCCGAGGCCGAGGAGGACGCTCAGAGCAACAAGAGCCTGGACCTGGATTTCGCCAGCAAGCTGATCGACTTCAAGCTGGGCAGCCCCGACCCGGGCGCGGCGCCGGCCGAGGGCCGCAACTCGTGCGGCGTCTGCGGGAAAACCTTCAAATACGCCGCTACCCTGGCCCGCCACAGGAAGGCCCACGCCTGCGAGCGTCGCCGGGACCGGGACGCTAGGAGAGGCCCGAAGCCCGAGGGCCAGCAGTCCGGGGCCCTCCGCTCACGGCCCGCTAAGAGCCCGGGCTCCTCCCGGTTAGAGGGCCCGACACCGCGGCCGGAGGAGGCAGAGGTAGCGGCGGGAGTGTCAGGAGCAGGGGCAGGGGAGGGCCGCCCCGGAGTCCGCGCGCCCCAGCTCCCCCCCGGGGAACAGCTCGAGCTCAGGAAGGCCCCGCCCAACGGCACGAGCAAAGCGGACAAACGGAAAAAGATCTGCGCGGTTTGCAGCAAACGGTTCTGGTCCCTGCAGGATCTCACCCGGCACATGCGGTCACACACCGGTAAGGGGGAGGGGGTGGGGATGAGGGGGGTGTGTGT